GGTTCATTAAAAATTGTAGTCAAATTTTTTTTCTCTCATCACTGAAATTCGATGTTAGGAAAACTTGTTATATGCAGGGTCAAATGATCAATTAATTTATAAACCATGCACTGAATTTTCCACTTATGATGCTCAACTAGAACTATTTTCAATGAATTAATAAGAGCAATAAACTAAAATTGACGTTACAAAAATATACAAATAATATCCAAAATACAAATACAATCGCAATTAAAAAAATAAAATGAAATTCAAAAAATTTCGGAACACAAATGCAAAAATACCCAAGAAGACGGTGAGTGACGGACGGTGCTGGAGGCGTCACAGGGTGCTGCAGTGGCGTAAGGCGGGCTGGAGCTTGCGTCAGGAGGGCTTGGAGCGGCCTGCGAACAGTAGAGAGGAGAGGAAGGAGGAGAAGAAAGAAAGATAGAAGAAAAAGAAGGAGGAGCGTTAAATGCCTAAAATTTGCGACCGACAGTCGGGTCGCAAATTTCAATTAGATATCGTCGCATCTGTGATTTTAACCCTGCGACGTCGTTTTACTTCGCAGTGTAATTTGCGACGATTGTGCGACTAATAAACGTCGGTCGCAATATTCATTTCGGTCCTCAAATCTGTCGCATAATAGGTCCCAAAAATTTAGACCCTAAATTTTGAACCGCTGAAATTTTGCGACGGAATCTACCTGTCTTAAGTCCGCCAATCGGCTGTTTGTTCCCGCAAAGTAAACGTACACATTAGTAGTCCACAAAACTAGAAACAAAAATCAGCGGAGAGTGTTACCCTGCTAAAAGATTTTGCGACTGTGTTGTTCTTTCTGTATCAAATCGGTCGCAAATTTGCGACCGACAAAATAATCGGTAGCATTAACGTTTCTTTTTGTAGTGGTATAACTAAGGGAAAAAAGAGACTTCTAGAAATAAGCATATGTTTTTCAAGTTAGTTGATAAACATTCAAATATTACGTGTTTGAGTATGAAAAGAAATAAAAAAAAGGCTGAAAAGAAAATAAATATAATGAAATAGTACATATAAGTTGTCCATTGAGTTTCAATAAAATAATTTAAGCAAATGCGTTGACTAGTCCTAATAATGGATGATGACTATGTCCTGAATGCAGACACAGATTATATGTCCGTATATGATATTGGAGTATGACCACACGCTTACCTATAGTAGTAGCTATAGTAAAAGGATAGTAGTCACAAACTGAGAAACAAAATCGCGGGAATTGTTACCGCTAAAATTTGCGACTGTTTGTTCTTCTGTATCAAATCGGTCGCAAATTTGCGACCGACAAATATCGGTAGCAAATTAACGTTTTTTTTGTAGTGTAATAACTTAAGGGAAAAAAGAGACTTCTAGAAATAAGCATATTTTTCAAGTTATTGATAACAATTCAAATTATATGTTTGACTATGAAAAGGAAATTAAAAAAAAAAGGTGAAAAGAAATAAATAATGAATAATATAATATAATTGTCCATTGATTTCAAAAATTAATTTAAGCAAATGATGACTAGTCTAAATGGATGAGACTGATGTCCTGAGATCAAAAGTCTCAAATTTAAATTCCCATGTCCTATTTAATAACTTATATATTTTATCTATAATAGATGGATTTTGATGTAATTTATATTTGAAAATGTAATAATATAATTTAATATTATTTATTTCAATAATACTATGTGTATTTTATAATATTAGACACATTTGAGAAAATAATTTGTTCTAAAATATGTGTCACACTTGTGGTTTGGAAGAGTAATAAATATTTTTTTATATTTACCGTTTGTATAGATTAATACTTATTACTTAAATTTAATATTTTTTAGTATTAAATTAAGAGTAATATAGTCAATTTATTTAATAATTTATTATAATTAAAACAAATTTAATAATTTTTTGAAGGAACGTGAAATTCTAACACATGACAAGTGTTATGAAACAAATGTAGTAATAATTTGGAGCGCATAAACTATGAGTTATCCTCACACATATTTATCCAATTGAAAAAAAAAAAAAGAAAAGTTGCTTAATCCAAACCAAATAATTGAATTAATAATTATTTATTTCTTAATACACAAGTGTGAAAAGAAAATGGTTTATATTAATTTAATTTTTTTATTTATAGGAAGAGAGAGAAAGAGAGGGAGCAGTCTTGGACAAGTCAAGTCAAGAGCAGCCATTGCCACGCAGGAATGGAATAAGACTGCAAATTGGGGTGTTTGTAACTTTGTACGTACACTAAAAATTAGAAAAAGTATTTTTGTGAGGATGGCTTTGCTTGCCTTATAAGTGAAGTCCACGTTGGATATGACGTGTAAGAGCGTCAACGTAGGGCCCTAATCGCTTTCCATTATTTTGGGTCCCACATCATGAACGAACCAAAATGGATCCTTTGGCTTCCTTCTTACGCTACTTTAACGCTTAGCTTTTTGCACATCTCCATGCTTTGACTTAAAACGCCACTACCTATAAGTAAACTATACTTCAGTATTTTTATATCAGACGCGTTTTTTTTTTTTTAAAATAAATATTATGCATAAAAATGATAAATTTTTGCTACTTGCTTGTAAATTACAATGGTTGCTAACAAATAGATAATTTGAATATTATATTATAATTTGAATAATTTGTAAATTAAAATAAATATTCTCTCTAAATTAGAAAAAAAAGGCTAATAAAAGGAAAATTTCACTATTTACTACTAATTACAAAAGTACCCCAAATTTAGTATACAAATTTATTTTTTACCTTTAACAAATAGATTTTTTTTTTGAGAATAACAAATAGATATTGATTACAAAGGATAAAATATTAAATTTTCTTTTGATAGTATTATCTTTTCTTTATATTATTTACCTTCCTAATTTTTCTTCTCTCTTATTTTCTTTTCTTTCAAAATATAGTTTAAGTTCGAATTCTAGCGTTTCAAATCTGAATTCGATTTTTTTACCAAAAAAGAAAATCTGAATCCGATTTGGATTTCAATGTGAATGGTTAAAACTAAGAAGAAGTTATTAATAGATGTGGTCTCGTGGAGGGTCGTCACAGAGATTGAGAATCAAAATATCCCTCTCTGCGTTAGGACCGTTGCGCCGCAATTTACGATAATTTGTCCAGCTCACATTTGCCGTCAGTGGTCACATGATTACGCCTCCAGACCCAACTCCAAACCCTTGGTTTGATCCTAAACTAATCATGGTTCATGGTTATGTTATTTTATCTGTCTCTTTCATTTTTCATTTTTATTTCTTTCAATAATTGTGTTTTAGCTTAATAACAAAATTTCAACTTTAGCACGCATTACCAAACCCAAACCCACATTATTTTCTCCACAATGCCTCTCTCTCTACATGTAATTAATATTTAATTAATCAATCAAAGATGGATTAAGTAATTATCACTAAATTAAATAATTGATGACTCCTAGATTAAGGTTAGAGGTGTCTGTTCAGATAAGAATGATGCTTTGAACTTTATATCAGCACTAGCAATGCCCATGCCCCATGTGATTGTGAGAGTTTTTTACGATAGTATAAACTTAATTTGTCTCTATATATTTATTTTTTAATAGTAAAGTCGTATTACATATTAATCTATTCATTTTTTTAATATAAATATATTATAATTTCATTCATCACCTCAAATTATTATAAATAATACATGAATAATAAGATTCTCTCCTAATTACTAATTATTTATGCACTAATTATTTTTTATGAACACAAAGAATTTGAATCATTAAATCTATTAGAGAAATATATTGCACTATCAGACTCAAAAAATGAACCAACATCTATAGAAAAATTCTTTACAAATTATACACTTATTTAATAAAAAAACAAGTGCAAAAAAAAGTAAATACTCAATTTATATATTATATAAATTTTATGTTTCTATAATTTTATTCTTCATACTTTCACCAAGAATTCAAATGTTGAATTAGGCTTAAAATAGTCTTTTCCTCCTTAAAAATTAAAAAATTACATATTATGTTTGGTACGGAAGCCTTGATTGTCGGTAAAATTTATTGAAAATGCAATTCATTTTCTTCTTATTCGACCCATCTATTGACGATAATGACACCTTTAATGAAATTAATCATAATGGTTCAAGCTTTTTTGATGACGAGTGATGACCCATCAAAGGTTCCATATTGTTGTACCAGCATTGCAAAATATAGAATCACTGCCCGAACAAATTAAATAAAATTGACGTGGCAGAATAGTGGCGTGCCGCAACGATAGTAAAGACAAAAAATGCATTAAATTCCAAAAGCTGATAGCTGAGAGGCCATTTATAGTCAACTAAATTATCAACAAATACTCTTCCACATGTGTAAAGCCACCGCTTATTAGCGGACACGTGTCGGTCACCACGTACAGCAAGTGCATACGTGGCAATTCTCCGTTGGTTACCTTACATCGAATAAAGGTATTTTTGAAGTTGACGAAAATAATTTAAAAAAAAAACATTTAAAAAATAAAGGTAAATGTTTTGAGAGTGAGAAACCAGCGGCTGGAGATTATATAAGAAGTGGCAGTGGAGAAGCATAGAAATACAAAGAGCGAAATCTCCAAAGTTAGGAAAAAAAGAGTGTTTAGAGAGAAAATCGCTCTCTTTTCTCTGCAATTGTGTTTGATAAAATAAGTTTTCTTTCCCCCTCTGTAATTCCCCGCTTCTCTGTATCCCATTCTGTCAATCGTCTGTCTTTCGAATCTTTGTTTTCTTGGTGGGTTAAACATATTGAAATCTTGAAACCTTGAAAGCCAGGTGATTCAGAATAGAGATCCAGGTTTATTTTAGGTAATTTCTTTTATATATTTTTTTTTTTAGTTTCATCAAACTTGAAGGGTTGATTTTTGGTCCCTCAAGGTTGGTTTGTGCAAAAGAACTCATATATTTTTTTATCTGGGTTTTGGTTTTTCTTCGTTTTTTTTTTTTTTTTTTTTTTGTTTTTTATCTGTTTTTTGGTTTTCTTCGTTTTTTTTTTTTTTTTTTTTTTTTTTTTTTTTGTTTATAGTGCCTGTTCTTGAATTTTGTTAAGTAACAGGTTATTTTGAAGATCTTTGTTTTTGTTTTTTTAAGATTTGAACTGAGAAATATGGCAGCAGCTATAGATATCTATAATAGCAAAACAGCACCAGTTTTCTCTGTTATGGATCCCTGTAGAGAAGAATTAATGAAAGCGCTTGAACCTTTTATGAAAAGTGCTTCACCAACTTCTCCTTCTTCTTCTTTTTCTCTTTCTCCTCCTCCTTTCCCATCTTGTTCTTATCACTCTCCGATTTGTTCTTCACAGCCCAATTTTCAGCCTGAAGCTTGCTCCCCATCTAGTACCCACGTGTTTTCTCAAGGGTTTTCTGGTTATAACCAAATGGGTTTTGAGCAAACAGGTTCAATAGGGCTTAATCATCTTACCCCATCTCAGATTCTCCAAATCCAAGCCCAAATTCACTTCCAACAACAACAACAGCAAATTCCTAATCTTTCTTCAAATTCACACTTACTTCATAACCAAAGACTCAGCTACTTGGCTCCGAAGCCTGTTTCCATGAAACAATCTGCCTCTCCTTCAAAACCAACAAAACTTTACAGAGGAGTAAGGCAAAGACATTGGGGCAAGTGGGTTGCTGAAATTAGACTCCCTAAAAACAGAACAAGACTCTGGCTTGGCACTTTTGACACAGCCGAAGAAGCTGCCTTGGCTTATGACAAGGCTGCTTATAAGCTGAGAGGAGAATTTGCCAGGCTTAATTTTCCTCATCTTCGCCACCAAGGGGATTTTGGCGATTATAAGCCCCTCCATGCCTCTGTTGATGCTAAGCTGCAAGCAATTTGTCAGAGCTTGGCTACCTCACAAAAACAGGGGAAAACAGGAGAGTCAAGTTCTGTTTCTGATTCGAAGACCAATCTTTCAGCTCCAATGAAGGCCATAAAGGAAGAGGATTACTCTTTGAAAGGTGAACTGAAAAGGGAAATTGAGAATCTTGGAGCTGAGGACTATAGGGTGGAGATTTCATCAGCAGCAGCTTCATCTGATGAATCATTGGCTGGTTCTTCTTCACCTCAGTCTGAGATTTCTTTCTTGGATTTCTCTGATTCTTCACAATGGGATGAGACTGAGAATTTCGGTTTGGAGAAATACCCCTCGGTGGAGATTGATTGGGCAGCTCTTTAAATTTCAATTATTATTGTACTCTTTTTTTTTTTTTTGTCAATTTTTGTTTCAGGTTTATTTTGGTGTCTTAGGTAGCTTCTGCAATGAAGTTTTTGGCATTTGCAGAGCTGCAATTAGGGGGGTCAGTTCTAGGTTATATGAGTATGGAGTAGTTAGTCTCTCCACTTTGGTCTTGCTGGTACTTTTTTTCCTTGCTTGACCGTGGGAGTGTTTGTAAGTTCAGGTCAGTGTAATTAATCATCTTCTCTTTGAATATGTCAATGTACTTCCGTCTTTTTGTTTTTCTTTTTGTGTGTAAAATGTGGTAGTGTTTGCTTTTATTCTATTTCATGTATTAATGGTTCAGCGAATAATGGGTAGGGAACCAATTGCTAGAAATATAAAATTCAATTTTCAATGTTTTAGATATGATTTTAAATTATCAACCGTTAAATTTGAATCTGATTCGGACCATTAGATTTATTATTTAAATAAAAGATTCAAAGTTTAAGTATTAAATGCTTGTTTTCAACTGCTCATAAACGATTCGTGGTTAGACAAGATTTGCAAATTTCTGCAAGGTGCTTGACCATAGGAGGCTTCTAATTCAAAATTAAACATGTAACGTTAGAAAATTCTCAATTTACCATAATAATTTAAACAGATTCTTGACAAGGACTTAAAACCAACGTTGTAATTCAAAACACTGCATTAATTAATTTATGGGGCAACCAATACCAAATGTTTCCAGAATGAAGTCAAATTCAAGATGGGTGACCAATTGAATTCAATTAATGTTTTTCAATAATTTATTTTGAATTTTTAAGCTATGGCAGCAATTAAATGTGAAACAAAACAAACAGGGTCACCTCCTCCACAGAAATGTTGCAAAGTTGATAGCCAAGTTATGAACTTTTCAATTTAGTCCTCCAAATTGCCAATCAAAATGTATATATTGTCCTGTCAAACGTCAATCCAATTGACCCTGTTACAGGTGCGTTATTGCACGCACATTAATGCCTTGACTTTAGGGTTCAGGCGGCAGGTTTTCAATGGAAAACCAAACTGGAAGGAATTCACAAATAACCAAACCGAAATCAGTTTGAAGTGGCCGGTTTTGGAACCCGATCACAAATTTTGAAACAAAACCAGCCAAAAATGGGTAAACGGGCCAGAATTAGTTTCCTAAAACGAATCAAAATTGGCTGGTTTTGAATAAAAAAAAAAAGACTTAAAAATAAAGAATCGTGTTAGAACCGGCAGAAACCATAGCTGGTCCATCCAGATCAAACCCTAGGTAAATTATAAATTATGAATTGGTTCATCAGAACCGATTCATATATATATATTTGCTTTTCTTATGTATAGGTAAATTGTACATGAAGGTTTCATCTTTCCCAATTAGCTAGCGTAGGTCCAAAAAATTTGTACAGTAGAGATGCCTATCTCTAGAAGCATCCATGTTCTGCCTGTAAGACCATCACGTGGGTGGATTCCCCTTTTGTAGAACCCACACAAGTTGAATGATTCAAGAAAAATCTGTGTCCTTGAGTTGAGCATCTTTTTTTTTTGTTAATTAATTTGGAATGAAATTTAAATTTATAATTTTACAATATTAGAGACAAATTTAATATCATTTAATTAAAAGTTATTGATTAATGTTAATTCATTTACTGGGAAAAGTAATTTGAAGCATTTATATTTAATATAGACAATTTTATTTTCTTCTATATAGCAATAATAAAAAAAAAGGTGGAAGCATCTAGGATCTCCAATCACTTTTGGGGGTTATGCAATTTTCAGATTCAGGATTTGATTGACAGGTGAGAAAGGCAAAACCATGGGTTGCAACTTGCAAGTGTCACTTTTCTTAGCAAATTACAAAAATAAATAAATAAATACAACACAAACAAAAAACTATATCTTATCCCTTGAGGCTTGAGATAAGGAATTTGGAGACCACCACTCCTCCCAAAAAAATAATAAAATAAATAAAGATATCAATCTATCCAATATTCTTATTCTTTCTTTCTTGTAAGCATGCCAAGCCAAGTTCATACTTACCATATAAGAGAAGAGAAAAAGAATGTCAAAAACCCTTCTTGGCCCACTAGGAATCCTTGCAATTGTAAACCCTAGCTAGCAAATTTCTTTCTTTGGATATTTATTTATTTATTTACTATTCATGGAACAGTAATGTGAATGCGAAAATTTTCTTTTCTGATTCATTCTTTAATTCTTTCTACTTTACCTTAAAATCTTGTCTGTTCATACTGATGAATGATTCCTTTAAAAGTGGAGGAAGGTTCACGATGGATGGCCCTCCAAATTGCTCTTCTTTACAGGGTTTATGATGTGGCTTTCTTTTGTAAGCCAAAGAAAAATATGCCTCTGAGGTAGATAAACCATGGATGCCCTTTGAGGTAGGTTGGTAGCTGGCTAGCTAGGTCTTGGTGGGTTATATTATATATGGAGGCAATTAAATCAAATGATAGAGATTACAAAAAGATAGAAAAGATAAAAGCAAATACGTGTGGAAAGTGGTATTACAAGAGAATGATGATATGGTGGTGTGCATGTGATATGCACACAGTGACACTATTACCACACGGAGTTGTTAAGGTTCGACCAATCACTTGTTTGTCTTTAATGTTAAGTAGTTAGTTACAAGTTGGAAATGATAATGCCCGTTGATATCAGCTACTTGTTTCTACCGGTTGTTTCCCGGAAATGGAAAAATAGCATCACACGTAAAATCTGGAATCTGTAATTTATAACACCCACTGTCTGTGATGTGCTATTACAAATACACACATTTTAAGTTGGAAAACTTTACCGACAACTTCCCTTTTTCTATGAAGCGTTATGAGGAACAGGAAAGGTGTGTATGAAGTATAACTATCATGATATATGGACATCGACATAGGCAGGACTAAAGTGGGATCCATGAAGCTATTAGTTACACTTGGGTAATTATTGACTAGAAGAGAGATACATAAATTCTATATGCATCATTACTATTATGATTGGATGGCAATTACTTACGTTTTCCAAAATTCAATTTCTTTTTTTCTAAATTTTATTTATACGATAGACTAGCTAGATAAAAGAACCAAACGCTGCTCAATTATTTTAAAACATGTAGTGCTTGGTCAAAGATTATCATTAATATACATTGAAAATCTGAAATTTTTTAATCGGTAGTTATTTTTTTGTCCCTTACTCGGATAAAAACAGCATGCTCAGATAAAAACAGCTAGAGCTTACTATCTCCATATATTCTTTAACAAAAAACTCTGTGGACGTTATTCTAAAATCTCTTATTCGTTAATTCAAATAATATTCTTAAAATCTGACTCTATTTTTTGTTTTTCACCTCATGATATATAAAGTCTAGTTTCTCTCCCAATAACAAGCTATGTTTTTCGGATGTGGGATTGGAAATACATATTCTAAGCTTAAAAGAATGAGTTCATTTTATCAATCCTCTTTAATGATTGTAAAAAAACAAAGGTAGTACTTGAATAAATATTATTAAATAATCTAAAATTAGAATATGCTTAATGTTACAATATTTTCAGAAAATGCAATTTTATTAAATATTTTTTGAATTCCTTGTAAGACCGAATGAATCGATGACATGATAGACTACACAATATGGTAGCACTTCTCTTAGTTCACTAAATCAGTGAAAACTCTTACTCAAAAAAAATTCAAATTCTAGATCTCTCATTACCCACACTAGTGAAAAGATCAACCAGACCACATCTATTTAAGTTATTATATTATTTTTAAGAATTCAAATAATTTTATATGAATTTAATATTTGTGTTCTTACTATTACATTTCAATGTCTTGAAGACATAAATTTTAATGCCTTATATGTATTAATTATATTCAATAATTGAAAACCTTATAATAATAATCAAACTAAGTGTCAAGTTGTGGTTTAAAAAAAAATTGAAATCAAATCATTAAAATACAAATCAAACTAAACCTTTAATGGTAGCTTAGTTGATTTGATACGTTTTAGTGGTTTAAAAGAAGAGAAATTAAATTTTTTCATCCATTTAGTTAACAAGAAGTCAAATATTTTGGCAATTTCTCTTGGGAACAAATCAAGATAATTTGGAATCATAGCTCTAAATTTTTGTTCGTCCTTCACTCGCAAAAATAAAAAGATTAACAATATTTTTAAATATAAAAAATAGATTACTACAAACGATCACATAAAATACACATAATTTTTAATTAGAAAAACCAAACCAAACCATCAACTTTTTCAAAATCGCGGTTTGATTAGTTTGAATGGTTTTATGAACACCCTTAAATTGTTTTCTAGATCTAACATCGTAGGTCCATAAATGTTAGATTTTAATATTAGATTTTAACAATATAGGTTAGAATTTATGTGGAACTTGCTCCAACTCTTGTCTCCTTTACCAACTTCTAAGCTTAAACAAAATAGTTAAGAGGAAAGTTTTCACTCAAAGCATGGAATGCTGCTAAAATGTAAGATTATTATTCAGAAAAAACATAAAATATAAAGAAAAAAATAAACTACAAAAGCTACTCTAAAATGTGTGCATCAAGAATGTCACATATCAACAATTTTGATTGTTTCATAAATTTAAGAACAAAAAAAAAAAAATGCAAGAATTTGTTTATATTAATGAATTGTTAATAAAATTCACTTCTAAATGAAATATATCTCATAATATTTAAATAGTTAAAAAAATGCATAATTATTTAATATTGCCTGATTAAATTGACAGAGAGCCATGTTGTAGCAATTATTTAAAATTTCAATTTTTCTATGAAAACCAAAATCAAAATAATTATATTGACCACCCTAATTAATAGAAAAAATGGGTTTCAATTTGTGGTGGTCTATAGAAGGCCCAAGAACTTGGAAGTTTGTAGTTTGAGGCCCATTACAAGATTATTTAGTGGATCCAATACATTGAAGAGCCCACTAATTAAAATTGAAGTTAAGGTGGAGCTCTCCATTCAAGATTTGAGCAAATGGGTGATGTGAAAAATATCTTGAGAAAAAGAAGAAACTTACATCCAAGGTAATCGAAGGTAAAAGTTGATGAATTGATGAAAAATATAATTATAATTAATTTTTCTTCAAATGCTAAAAATTTAACTTTTTAATTCAGTAGTTAGTCTTTTTCTTTATATAAAAAGGACATTTAAGTGAATTTCATTATAAGAATGTCGTAAGTCTAATAATAGATTTTTAATTATTTATAGTGGTTAAAATAACTAAGCTGTTTTAGAAATTAAAATGAATATATTTTTAAAAACAAAAAATCTACCTAGTGTCTCTCTTTCC